GCATATGTATGGAATATCTTGACCAGCTTTCTATTTCTCTTTTGAACTCCCTTCAGTCCAGCACTATCAGCAGAACTCCTGTAATTCAAGACAATATTATATTTCTGTCATGAACTGAAATGCAAATATGAATAAATCATGTCTCTTTGAAAAAAATAATTTCGAGTATATGAAAACAATATATACTCACTGACTCACATTGTCACAGATTTTGATGGAACTGAATTACTGGATGAAACATTGCCTTCGCCCATTTTTGAATCAATATTTGCTGGATTTAGGTCTCTGAAAAAAAGAAAGTGATGCAAGTAAGTCTTCACATGATGTTTTCACACCTCAAAACGGGTCTTGATGAAACTGTATCCGACTGTGACCTGCAAGTAACGTTTTTTTTGTAGGAATAGTTTTGGAAATTGCGTCCGTTTTCAGTAAGATTCTTTTCTTTTTCCTGAGAAAATCAGATTTCGCAAAGAGTCTAGAACATATCACATTTAATGGGCTGGACTCCTTCCAATTGCTGTTAGCCAAAAGAAAAACGACGTTTGCCATGACTAAAACTGAAAATTACGAAAAAAACTATGCATCTGTAGATGTTTTTCAATTGCAATCATTAAAAAGGTTCAATAAATAATCAAGTACGGTTCTGTTAAAATAAAAATCTTACCGATGAAAGGAGATTCCTGCAATGTTTCCTTTACTTTGACACGACCAAACAAAACAAGTATTAGGCATTTTCAATAAAGTTCAGTTTGCATAAAAATTAATAACTTGCAACACACACACCAAATAATAAATTTATAATAATCAGCATTCAACTGCAGCTTGTCAGTTCAAGTAACAGTCAAGAAACGCTACTGCGCAAACTCGCCATCCTCTTGTGGCACCCACCAGTGCAAGTGTTTTATTCATACAGAATAGCCATTCTCCTCTAAGTTATAGTTCTGTGATGTGGTTTCACCCCGGTTCTACCCCGGTCCCTTCCAGAAATCTACCTCGATGAAAAAATAGATTGTGGCAACACTGGGTGCTCTATGTTAGTTTCGTCTGTGGTTTTGTGTGAAGTCACTGAAGTGTATTCATGTTTTATTAGCATTAGAGTTATTCAATACACGAAAATGCAGGCTAGTCGACCACATATTTCGAGGGAGCAGAAGAAGTTTCTGTTCAAATATCTTCAAGAAAATCCAGAAATGATGAGTGCCAAATTTTTAACCTCATTGGAAATTAAAGATGTTCAAATGAAATGGCGGACTCTGGCGAATATTCTCAACCGTTTACCAGGAAATCGTAGCATTAAAAGCTGGAAACAGTGGAAGAAAGTACGTGTACTTTGAGTAGAACCTACAAGGAACTTGAATATTTTAGAATATCATATTTCGTGATCAGGTTCATTATTAGAATTAGGCGAATATTGTGATGGGAGTTCAAATGTTCGAATTTTATGGAATTGAAAACTACTTCTAATTCAAACCATCTCTCATGATCTATATTTAAATCTCTCCGTCGTAGCTCGCGGTATATGAATGTTGTTTTTTTTTCAGAGAAAATAGAATAACAGATTTTTTGTTGAACCTATTCACTGTTTACCTGATATGGCAGGTAGGAAAAAAATTACATAATTGATTCATGGATTCATTAAGACTACTGCCTAACGTCAATTGTTAGGTTAGGATGACGCAAGTTATTCTCACCAACTCTAAATGGTTGTATATCTACAAGTTGTCTCAATTTCAGTGAATAAATTAATTTAGTCTGCCTAAATACTCGGAGCGTGATTATGCGATTTAATAATCATGAATCACAATTGTCGTAAGTTGTATTTCAAAAAGAACTATCGTCAACATTCAATTCGTACTAATATTGTGATATTGCCAAAAAAATGTTTGTGAAGTTATTCTGCAGTAAATTTTCATTTGGGGAAGAATATAATGAACATGGCAATTGCATTGAGGTCATCCAAATATGTGACAATTATTTTGTAATTATTTTTTCTCATACAGTATGCGACCTTGCATTCAATCACAAAATTACCTACTACCAGCAACTTCTATGCGTTATACCGACTTTTATTTATTTCCAGACTTGGCAATATATGAAATCCAAAGCCAAGAACAAATATATCAAGGATAGTGGTTCACTAACAGAAGAAGAAGAGAGGATTTTCAGAATTTCAGGTGGTTTCAACGAAAATGGACAGTCTTCAATAAATGAGGAAACCTTGGTTTTAGAACTACTTGAAAATAGCATCGATAATAATGACTATGTCAAGGTCAATGAAAGTGATTACAAACAAGGAATGCCGCAGAATAAAAAATTATCAGAAAAAATTGAAATATGCGTAGTGGCAGATGATTCTGATAGTGAGGAAGAAGGGGAAAACCATTGTTTGCCACCTTATGAAATCGCTGCGGCAAGAAATGTCGGTGATACTCACGTCGACACGACAGAAGCTGTTCATCATTCTGATGAACAAACAGTGATGACCAAAGCATTTTACCATGACAGAAAATTGTCTTGCTTGAATAGGATAGCGAAAGCCAAAGAAAGATCATCCTTGGCGAAAATGCGTATTGCAA